AGTTGGGGGTGTCAGTACAAGACACCCTCCCCTCCTCCCTGCTTTTGACAGCTGGCCGCCAGCAAGCCACAAGCAGATAGGCCAATCATTGGGCCATGTGCCCATCCAGGCCTTGACGGAGCCCCCCTCTTTGTATAAGGTCGCCGGCCTAGCCTGGATTCGGGCTTCGCCTGAATCTAGGCAAAAACCTAGCGGGCATGTTTTTGCGAATTCGCTCAGATATATCTGATATCTTTCAAGTTTTTTGTTTTTAAATTACACCACGTTCACATATTCCATTAATTAATTAATTTATTTTATATCACACTACGTTCACATATTTCATTAATTAATTAATTTATTTTTAAAGGTTTTTTGTTTCGAATTAAATTGTAAATAATTTTAACTTTATGTAGATAAGGTAAACTTTAATGATTGTCATTTAAATAAAGTCTTTCATTTTCATTTTTCGTAGATAGTTTATCAAGTTTCAACTGTTACAGTACATTACTGAATTGTGTAAAAATTTTACAANATTTATTTATTTTTAAAGGTTTTTTGTTTCGAATTAAATTGTAAATAATTTTAACTTTATGTAGATAAGGTAAACTTTAATGATTGTCATTTAAATAAAGTCTTTCATTTTCATTTTTCGAAGATAGTTTATCAAGTTTCAACTGTTACAGTACATTACTGAATTATGTAAAAATTTTACAAAATATTGAATAACTTAAGAAACAATGCAAAGAGAAAAGAAGAAATTAAAACAACTATTATCACAGCCACTTCATTAGCACAGCCGTTTCATTAGTTCGACAAACGTATAACAATGGGTAACTTTGTCTGCATGGCTACATTTTGAGGATGGCATTTCATTAGCGCAGTCATTTCATTATTATGGCCACCCATCACCATGACAACCTCATCAGTTTGTGAAATTGTAAGCTTGGCCTCGTCATAGCACAGCCATCTCATTAATAGACCTTTCTTATTTGAATGGACTTAGGAATACACTGCTGGGGAACGCCACTTCATTACCACTTACACATCATCAGTTGCACCAACTCTTTAGCAATGACCACGTTATTAACACGCCGCCCTCGTTAGCATGATTACTTCATTAGAACTTTAGCTTATTAGTAGGGCCAGTTTCTTAATTACTTCGCAAAAGTCCTCGTTAATATGGTCCCTTTGTTACTGAAGTCACCTTAGTATTTAGGCCTTCCATTAAGATGGGTACCTTGCCAAGATGATCATCGTGAAGCAGTAACAGTTCGTTTCAGCACTGCTACCTTATCTATACCACTACCATCTTATCAGAGGGTTATCTCATTAGCAGGGCCACGTGACCGTTGCTTATAAGCACCACCACGCTGTTAACACAGCCACTTCACTGACACATCCAAATCGTCGACTCGTTCTTTTCCTTAGCGGCCTTAGCATACTCAAGGGAGAAAGGAGGGAAAAAATTGGCACTTACTTTCTTGATCAGTATGGGGAACCGTGCCCCTAGTATATTGCTATTAATTTGCTATAAACTGTTATTTCAGCTAAACCAGGTATGTCTAAATCTCTATGGAACAAATCTCTATCAAATCTATTTGACTTTGATAATTTTCTGTTAATTTTCATTAACAGGATATTCTCGTGATTTGCATCAATGAATGCACCATATCTATTGGCGCACACTTGCACATCGTCTTGCTCCAGATTTCTTTCCACTTGACGCAACATCTTGCTGATGTTCCTTAATGTCTTCTCCTCCCTCGTCTTCCACTTTTGCATACCTGCTCGAATCGTACTCGTCCATGTTGATCAGTTCTAGGTAAGTCTGAAATAACAGAATAAGTAATCAACATTTATCTAAGTGCCAGTTGCAGCTTTTGAAGTGCTCAAAGTGAATATCTTAGGAGTTAGAAGTAGCTAGAAGTCAAGCTGGTGTTTTGTAAGATCCTGTTCGTTACATTACCTTAGAGGAATTGCTCAAAAGAGATCGAGAAGAGCGCACTGGAAACGGGGGTCTTGTATGATAAAAATAAGCTAATGTGCTTAAAAGTGACCATATGTGGGAGACTGATTAATTTCCTTTTCTATTGTTTATGTTGAAAAGCGGTAGTGAAAAGTGAATTTAGTTGGTACATACCGGTAAATCGCATATATATACACTGATGAATAATTATTCATATTCATAAATTGTCGTCCCCTTTGGAAGGGGAAGATAAATTTCTGACAATTTATGCATGAAAGGGGGGACACATTATAAAGAATACAATACAGAGTAGATTATCAATTGAAGAAACTGTACAAGATGTATGAAAGGAAAAATCAGTTTCGAGAATTATGCTCATCAAACCCATTATTACAAACCGTGTCACGAATATAAGACTCCATTCTCTTTCGCAGATTTTCAAAAGAGGGACGGAAGTCAGGGTTGATGTTCCAGCACCTCACCATAATGTCATACCTGAAAAAAAATCAATGTTATCAATGATCAATCATGTCCTGATTAGTTACCGAATTGAACTGAAGGTAACAAGCTAACAAATTAATTAAGGCTCTACAGAATCTCAAGGAGGCTCGATCAATTAAGAGCACCAAAAATTCTTTTTGCAATGTTCGATGCCTTGGAAAAATCAGATAGGATTTTAACAAAGGCGACCATTATGATTACACTTTTTATCTTGGCTCGAAATGTCATGAATGTGGTTCCAGGCTTTGTCATAACATTTCTAGTGACGTCTGTCACGCGCGTACGCAACCGGCTAATACATAATTTCAGAGCAAATCGCAAACGATGGGCATTTTACTGTGTAAGTCTTGAAGAGTAGTAAACTCGGTGGTTAAACACTAAACTTGAACCTCTTTATGACGTTTTCAAGAGTTTGATGCCCAAGTCAGTGGAAGAAAAAGTTGCAAAAATCACAGTGACTAAGCAACATAGTAGGCGCAAACCTATTTTCTGATCTTCCTACAAATTCTCGATGTTTAACTTATCTTCTACCCTCACAGGCAGTACAGGCCCAGCTTATTCCTTGGCTTTAAGACAAGCTGAGTAGTCCTTGATTTTTAAAGTTCTCGGTAATTTTCCGGTAACCGTTTTGGCGAGATTGGACGCAAACTGCACACTTGACTGCCATCGGTTTAAAGTATTGATAATATGAGATTTAGATATCTAAACAAAACCTCAACAGAATGCATTATTAAAAGTTTCAAATGTGTAAGTACCAGACGGAATGTCCATGAACGCAGAAGACAATTGAGAGTGACAGAATCTGTGTATCATTGTTTTCATTGTTATGTCCGATGCGTTTGCAGCCTAGGGGAACCCCGTTATTACGAGGTAAGGGATGCTTATCGGAAAAATTGAAAAGAACTTTAAGAGGTACCATGATCCTTCCTTACAGGCGTGGCTTGATTTTTTTTTCACCCTTAAGAGGTACCAATTCTAAAACAACAAATCATCTCCTGTGATATTTTTTCGGCTCAATACCCTAAAAGTGTGGAAGGCGCGGTGGCCTCATGGTTAGTGCGCTCGACTTCGGAGCGAGCGGTCCGGGCTAGAGCCCTGGCCGGGGACATTGCGTTGTGTTCTTGGGCAAGACACTTTACTCTCACGGTGCCCCTCTCTACCCAGGTGTATAAATGGGTACCGGCGAACTTAATGCTGGGGGGTAACCCTGCGATGGCATGTCATCCAGAGGGGGGTAGAAATACTCCTAGTCGCTTCATGCTACTGAAACCGGGATAAGCTCCGGCCTGATGAGCCACTTGGCTCGTATGCAGACTTTACCTACCCTACCTTACCGGAACCAGAACCTACAAAGATTTGTCGACATGTGGTGGCTTTGGCATCTTGTAACCTTGTTTAATTTCCACTATTGTCCTGGCTTCTGACCAATCCGGATACGGAATGCCTCCTGTTGTGGGATCAGTTTAGAGTCTTGTTAGGGGGCTCATTAACATATATATTAAGTTATGTAGGCATATACACCTTACTCGCTAGGGGGTATTGTTGTTCAGCTGTCTCATTCTAAAATATGGTCATGAATTTTGCTTCTTGATATTACGCTAAGTTTAGAAGTTATTAAGTTTAGAAGAACTATTTGATGTAAAGATAGCACGACTTTTTGTCTTGAATAATTAGAAAGCTGTAGTATTTTCCTGATTGGACTGCAATTAAATCTCAAGCCTTGCCTCTTGATTTAATTTATGAGCCCAACTTGCACCAAATGGCTTATTTTCTGAAACATAACTAATCCTACAAGTAACTTTAATTAGCTCATCTGTAGCTGTCTGTGCTAACACTGAAATTAAAATCACGACTACGTATGGGAAAATGACAAATAACTTACCAATGGTGAATATTTCATATAGGACAATCCCATAAGACCACCTGTGAATAGTGGGTATGGCAGTTTGTAAACAATGAGAATCAAATGTACTTTAGAACTTAGGTCCGTTTAAGAATCTTGGAATGTATTCAAAAAAATTACTTGCTTCTGACCAGTTAAAACCAATATAATTAGCTTCAAATTCTACTCCATATAATGTAATGCTACAATTCAGTGGCGGATCCAGACCTTGAGCTAAGGGGAGGCGGTTGTGGTTTGTTTGCCCTGCCGGCTTTTCTTCATTCTGCGATTTCTTCGGTTTTTACCCAAAATGAGGGGTGGGGGGGCTCTCCTAAATCCGCCACTGCAATTAGCACAGCAATTTCCATAAAGAATAACAAAAACTTTGAAAGCTGTCACATTCGTCCATTTTCCGCACTAATTTTATTATAATTTCAACCCGTGCGGTATTTTTGAGTAACTGACGTCATTTACTACAATTCTCAGCCAAGACTTGGAACAAGAAAAATTAATGGCGGCCGTAAATTCTCGGAAATAAAGGTCCAAAACACGTGAGTTCTAATGTTCGTAATAGATTGAAATTTGGCAAGATATCTAGGAGAGACCTATTGTGTACGAAAATGTAAAAAGAAACAAACAAAAAGGACATCAAGAATGTGACCATAGGAGTACTTTAAATACGGGAAACAATTTTTTGTACCACGTTTCACAACACTAAGAAGAGGGTTGAGGACTTTGGAAACATGATAAAATAAGGTGTCGAATGTTCGATATATCTTCTCAGTCAAGGCTAAGGAAAAAACAGAGAGATTATTTGATTATTATGATTAGATATCCAAACACCATCACTGTAAGTTATGATTTCCTGTGTTTTAACCTGTTGAAATATTAATGCGTTTAAAAACCTGGGCGAAGGGCTAAGATCTAAGCCCCACTTATTTATACATACACATCACTTAATGGTGAGAGTTCTGCAATATTTCCAAACAGAATTTCAGGTGCCGTCCATTTTACTGGGATGCAGCCCTGTGAAATAAAACAGTTGTACACAACTTGCTTAGAGACAGATGGAGTAGTTTTCACCTGAATGTCTGAAGTATTTCACATTAGCTTTGTCTTTGCATCAAAGCTGGTTTTCACTGAGGCATAAGTATAAGTAACATACGCATCCGAAGTGCGGTGCCGCTAAATAGCTCCTCAAACTAAGTAGCTAAGTAAAACCATAACAACAACGACGTTATCATTGCGATAGTAGAAGTCAATGATAGGCTCAGTAATCTGACGCCAGTAAATTGTTCATCCATGTTATGCTTGTTTATAACTAATGTACCTTTTTGGCATTGCCATGCCCGTATTTGAAGGTCTGATATGCCAGTCCAAAGTCAGTCACCTTACAGATGTAGTTTTTATCAACTAGCACATTTCGAGCTGCGAGGTCACGATGGATTATCTACAACATTAAAACATGGCATAAATTATTCACAGCACGCTCGCCGACCCACTAACACTTTGAAATACACTTTAGGGAAAAAAGCTCCTTATAAGCTCTTATACAATCAAGTTAATTTGAATTTGAGACATGCACGCTATCCTCAAGTTTAGTAGATGAACTCTTACNTGAAGGTCTGATATGCCAGTCCAAAGTCAGTCACCTTACATATGTAGTTTTTATCAACTAGCACATTTCGAGCTGCGAGGTCACGATGGATTATCTACAACATCAAAACATGGCATAAATTATCGTAGAAATATTTACGGCAAGCTCGCCGGCCTACTAACACTTCGAAATATACACTTTGGGGAAAACAGCTCCTTATAGGCTCTTATACAATCAAGTAAATTAGAATTTGAGACATGCACGCTATCCTTAAAGGGAAATTGTCACCATTTTTAACATGATGTTGGAAATCCCAGAAACATACATCGATCTTTGGAAGCTTAACAATAATGGTTTCATTTTGTAGAGCAGTACTCGACATTTGACTAGAAGCCATTAGGAAGCGAGGATGGCGAGGATGGCGAGGATGGAAATGGATTGTGATATGGATTTTTGAAAAGCGTCAGGATGTCAATTTTTCAAAGGTTCAAGTTTGGCTCGAAAATCATTAAAATGTTGCAAAAATGCTGCTGCAGTGTAGACTTTCTGCAAGAAATTGCTTTTAATCATTTAGTTAGCTAGAGCTAATTAAGTTCCGTGTTACATAAATTTAGGGACCAATTTCGTGAATTTGTAACAGTGTTAGGAAACTGAATACATCGTGACAGTGTCCTTTTTAAGTGTAGTAGATGTACTCTTACCCCTCTTGATCCAAGGAATACCATGCCTGTCGCAATCTGTTTGGCAAATGATACAAGGTCGTATATTCCCAGCTCTTCAATACTTCCCTCTCCAAGATGGTATTTATCATGAACTCCCCTGCTTTTTCTCAGCAAACCAAGCAAATCTCCGAGCGCACAGTACTCCATGACCATAATTGGATACCCTTTGAACAGAGGTATAATGTAAACTAAAGGTTCAAAATATACTTTACCACTGTGTAGAATTTCTTTTCAGAATAGCTGACAATTAACATGATATTTACGTCATGTTTAAATGTGCTCAAGACTAAAAGTTCAAAATCTATGATCCCAAGATAAAAATATTTCAGAAATGGAAAAATTAAATGCATGCAAGCCATGATTAACAAGACTAAAAGTTCAAAATCTATGATCCCAAGATAAAAATATTTCAAAAATGGAAAAATTACATGCATGCAAGCNTTTTGCCTGACCAATTTACCTGGTACAAAATCAGCCATGCCAGGATGTAAGTTGCCCAAGAGACTTCCAAAACAAAGGAAAGTCTTTGAAAGCTGAACTGGTACGAGTTGCTTTGGTTTGGAAGTCTCACTGTACAACTTGCGCTCAGGCATGGCTGATTTTGTACCATGTGACCAGGTCGTGCAAAGGGTCTATTCAGAGGATATACCTCGTGGGGCAACAAGAAATAGATCACCTGTTGTTGACCCAATGTACTTTTCTTGCTCGGTGCAATGGCTTAAAAGATAAGTAGATCAGCAGTGGAATACATTAACATCAATATCGACAGGTGGTCTATGACTTGTTCTACTTACTCATTTACCCATCAAGTATATAACCAAGTCGCTGTTCAAACTAGAGAGCGAACAGCTTAGATGACCGTCCACTGACAATAACAAAGAATCCAAAACAAATAAAAGAACCCAAGAAATCGTGCATGCAATTGTCCACCAACAAAATTCGTCTACTGTGTGCACTTAACTTAGTGGTGGAGTTTTTTTTGCCGGGCTATTCTTGCTATTTAATTATCCTCCAAACATTCCTTTTACATAAACCTCTCAAGCATAATTTTTTGGAAAGAAATATCATGAGTAGCGAAAATCTTCAATTGTTCACGCATTCCTACGATTACACATTTATTATATCACTGAGAAAATTACCAACACGCCTGTATAAATTTGCACTGCCATGCAAAGTTAAAAGTAATATTTAATAATTTGGCCTGCTCTCAGCCAATCACATTGAAGTACATATTCTCAGTCATACAGTAAAAAGATTTATCATTCCGTTTATTTTGTTCTTTGAGAACCTACCACGTGAACTGCAAATGCCTGAAAATAAAGGTCTGCTCGTTCGTAATACCGTCTAAATGTGTTTTGCTGCAATTAACAGTCTGCTCATGCATTCGAAATTTTAACCAGGCTCTTGTGTGAAAAATATCAGATCTCTTCCCTGAGCTGTCAGAGAGTGATTTAAATATCAAAACAAACTTGGTGATAGAATGATAAAACAATGATTCAACTCGAAAATCGCAAAATATCGTGATCTATCGTGATCTCGTAAATCAGTTATTTGTCTCAGCCTCCGGCTTCGGGATATAATAGATCTGCTCGCCGCTGACAAATCACGATATTTTTCTCGACTTCTTCCAATCATTGTTAAGTACTCACCAAGATCGCTCGCTAAGTCACTTCCACTCACCTCGTTGTCGACGTCTACCAATGCAACAGCCAATCACAACAGCGCAAACAATCAAAGCAGATATAGGCCCGACAATGTAATACCACTCAAGAGAACCACCGGATGTTGAAGGTGTAGCTGTCGAGACATTCGAGCACAGAAATGTTGCTATCAGCACGTATTTAATGGTAAGAAATATGATGAAAAAAGAGTCCGGAATTTTTGGGTAATTATTCTGCCTAATTGAACCAAATTACTATCTAATTTTCTTCTGTGGCTAAGAGTTTTCATGCTGTGAAATAGCTAAGCGGGGAAATATTAAAAATCCTGAATCAATTAAGGTTTACCCTTGCTGAGATAGGAGGGTGCTTTTCAGGTCCTTTTCACCAACTTTGACTTTGAAATGAAATTTGATGACGTTTTTGAAGTTTATCTGGAAACAGTTTGGTATGACACGTCATTGTTGAAGAAACTTGATGTTCCCATGGCAGCCGTAGTATGACAGGTATGTTTGATGAATTTCAAATACTCCTGTTTTTAATGCAAACTTGCAGTTACTTTTATACGTTTTGGATACATTTGGCTGTAAGCGAGAGCCAAAGAAGCCCCTCCCCCGGTCCCCGGGGATTCAGAAACGCCGGTTTGAATCTGTTTATACTGCTTGACACCGGATTGGGTAGCTAAGTTTTGTTTTTTTTTTTCCTTCTTTCACCAGGCTATGTGCACGTTATTGTACATAGTCTTGCAGTTCACAGCCTTTCTAAATCCTCTTCAAAAAGTTATTTAAATTTACTTTTAGCTTTTTATTCTGTACTTTGGACCGATTGAACATTTCCCACATCATGCATGCGTTATCTTGTTCTTAAAGGGGCTAGGTGACGGTATTTTAGGTAATTTTGCTTAATTTTGTCAATTATCAACTCTAAACGTCAAATTCGCAGAGCAAAAGTGTTTCATTTGCAAAATCACGGCCACATAACAGCTGAGAATTATTTTCCAGCTGTGTAAATGACACTTTGATATAAACTGATATAAATTTGAAAAAAGGTGGGCCGACGTTTTTCAAATTTACCCAAATGCAATCCATTTTAATCCTCCCCAGTTTTGGCCATCCATGTCCCTTCTTGGCTTTCCTGTGTTTTGTTTGAGATCTTCTATAGTTTTAAGTCGCTTTTGTGATATTTTAGTTAATTCTATGACCATTTGATCAGTGCTGAAATTGCCAAAAGTTGTGTGACCTAGCCCCTTTAAATAGTCCATAACTGTGACATATTCAATATGGCTTACCCCTGACTGTGATTTTCACAGTAGCAGACACGGTACCTGCCATATTCTGTGCTTCACAAGAGTAAACTCCACTGTCATCGGGCACAACGTTCTTAATATAAAGCGTAATTTCGTCACCTAGTCGCGGACCGATGTGTGCTCTTGGAATATCTGAGGCGCTGTTTTTCTTCCATTTGATATTCATTGTCACTCTATTGACTTTGCAAGTCAGTTTAAGTGCATCTCCTGCCATTAGAGTGGGGTAATCTTGGGGAATAATTTGGGAAGTGGGTTTCTCTGTTTAAGAAATAAGAAGTCAATGTAATCAACCATTTAGCACATTTACCCCCCATTAGGAGATAAACCTATGTACGGACAAAAGTTGAAATTAAAGGTGCTACTGAAAGGCAATTCAAGTGTAGCTAGACTGAAATTTAGAGGCAGGCATAATAATAGCTTAACACTACGATCCACTAATCCTCGACTCCGAAAACAAATTTCGACACTGTTACATTAGATCAGAACTACCGGTTTTTGTCCCAGAAGATACAGAAAAGAAAATAACAGAAACAAGCATTCATAACTTTAAAGGGAATTCTGCGCACTTTACTCCAGAAACAGATAACACACCATCTAACAGTGTCTTCCGAAAAAGGATGTATTGGTGACTGCTTTCCTCTTGATAACTATGAATTAAAATATGTTTTTTTTATTTCTTTATTTTATTTTCATTGTTTTTGTTATTTTAGGTAATTACCTAAAATACGAAGAGTTGAGGTTGAGTTTGCTCTGCTCGCCTTGTTTTTTGCTGTGCACTTGAATGTACCATTCATGTTTTTTGTCACGTTTGGAAGAAGCAGTTGGTATCCCTCCTCGGTGTGTGTCTCAATTGCAAGCGAAGGGAGGCTTCCATCATTAAACTCCCAGGTTATCGCCGGTTTTGGAAAACCCGTGGCTTTGCAGATAAACTTAATTGTCTTCCCTTCAGGAACGGTTTGGCTTCTTGGAGACACAATAACCTGAGGAGAGACTTGAGGGAACAATACTTTCCACTTAGTAGTTTTTTTTTTTTGCCTCAAAATATTGCTTTGGTAATGACTATTATCGAGTCAAATTGTCCCTTTTAAAATAGTGACCACTGGTTTAATTTGATAATAGGTGAATGTATGAAAGATCTTAAATTTGAACTTCAGAGAGAGATATAAAGACACGAATGATCATCACTGCTATGCAGGCAAGTTAAGCAGTTGTGAAGATACATTTCAACCAAGAACGGCTTTGAGACATACAACTCTCAAGCGAACTCTCGGAGTCCCTACCGAATTCAGAAAATAATTAAGAAAGCAATGCCTTCTCATTGTAACACTGTAGATAATTATAGCAAAAATAACTTGCCCACGACTGCCATTAAAGTCTGTGTATTATTCCTTGAAATATTGTGAAGTAGAAAAAGTCGTTTACCTGTTACGTCAATCCAGAATATTGCTTGAATTTTTCCAGCCCAATTTTCTGCACCGCATCCATACCAACCTGCGTCCTCAAAAGTCACCCTGTCGATAGTGAGTGTGTTTTCCTTTATACCAAGGTCCAATCCATCTTTAGTCCAGTTGACCTCTGGTGGGGGATCTCCCTTCACATAACATTTGATTGCAAATGTAGAGTTTAATTGAACAGAATGATTCTTGAGTAGGGGATTTTTTTTAGGTGGAACTAAAACAAAAACAAAATAAGAGCAAATTTTAATGCCACTGAATTGTTTGAGGCGAAGATCAATTGGAATCCCCTTTTTAGGAAGGTTGTCCAATACACAGAAACGGAGTCCAATGGAATGGCACTCAGTCCATTGGTAATCCATTGGTGAAATGTCTCCATATGGGTATTTATAAAGACTAAGAATATTTCCGATGGCTTCAGGTTGAGTGGGGGTCCATTCTACTCGTCCATTGGTACCAATGGTACGATTGGTACCAATGGAATTGCACTTATTCGATTGGTGTTCCATTGGTGAAATGCATCTCATTTAAAGTCGTAGAATATTTCCAATTGTTTCTGGCTGAGTAGGGGTGAATTCTATTCTTCCATTGGTATCAATGGTACGATTGGTGTCAATGGAATTGCACTTATTACATTGTATTTAGTGTGTGCTTGGGCTCGCACGCTTAAAGAACGAAGCGAAGACTATACATATTGTATTTAGTGTGTGTTTGGACTCGCACGCTTTAAGAACGAAGAATGTAAATTATATTTAGCGTGTGTTTGGGCTCGCACGCTTTAAGAACGAAGAATATAAATTGTATTTAGCGTGTGTTTGGGCTCGCACGTTTTAAGAACGAAGAATATACATACTGTATGTAGAGTATTGTATTTAGCGTGTGTTTGGGCTCGCACGCTTTAAGGACGAAGAATATACATTGTATTTAGCGTGTCTTTGGGCTCGCACACTTTAAGAACGAAGAATATACATATTGTATTCATTTAGCACTTTTGGGATCGCACGCTTTATGCAAATACAAATGGCATACCGATCGGCTGTCTACTTTTCCATTGGTACCAATGGTACCAATCGACAAATAGTTTACGCGCGCCCCTCGCTTGTTAATATATGCAGTTTACAAATGGTATACCAATCGACTAACTACGTTTCCGTTGGAATCGATTTGTACCATTGGTATCAATGGCACCAATCGACAAGGCTACTTTGACGAATAGTGATCATTTACCAATGGTACGATTGGTGAGGGTGTTTTGACGATTGGTATCTGTTTGTGCATATTGGACATGTGTGGAGGTTTTAATAGCTTTTGATGTAAATCACTTTTTCTTTCTATCAGTCTTTTTAAAGGCTCCAAATTTGCTTCGAATTGTGTTGTGAATGTTTGTCTGCGTTCACCAGAAACAGTGTGCCTGGGGCTGGCATAATGAGAATCCGCTTAAACTAACTTCTGTACTGTAGCAAACAGACTAATGTTTGTTGTATTCGTGACGATGAAATTTGTTGACAATAATAAAATATGTTGAACGAGCGTTATCGTAGTCGTTCTTTCCTAAGGCCCTAGTAATTGCCGGCACCAGATGGCTCAAATTTGCTCCCCTTGCTCTGTGTGTCTGGTCAATTACTGGTGAAGAAAAATCGCAATATTTTGATGGATACACTAATTATTGCAACTGCCCCTTCTACCAACTTTAACTTCCATTATGAGATAACACTTGTGATTTCCGACTGATTTTTACTACACTGAAGATAAAAAACGCCGACGTGAACAATGTTCGCCCAAGACTACTGCTACAAGAAAGGGAGATTTTTCAAGGAAGACCCGTTTTATTTTGACGTTCATAAATGTTAAAAGGCAAACAAAAACAAGGACTTCTCTGGACTTACCATCAACAGTAACATTTATGATGGCATCAGCAACACCACCGGAATTTTGTGCCTTACACTTGTACTGCCCCTCATCTTTATCTGTTAACTCTTCTAGGATCAAATTCGGGCTCTCCTCATCCACCAAAAGTATGTTGTTTTTATACCAGGACACTTGTGGCTTCGGGAAACCTGCTTTGATGACGCAAGTCAGATTTAATCTGTCCTCCTCTAGCATGGTCCAGTTTGGTCCTAATAATTGGACCTTAGGGGGAACTAAAGAAAAACAGAGGAACACAAAAATGTAATAAAGTTGTATAATCAGAGTGTCTAGGAGAAAGATTTTAAATATGATTTATTTCATTTTAGAAAGCTCAATAAGACATGAAATGTTTCAAAGAGTTGGAATGGAGTGAGGCTTGGAAAACAAACCTCAAATCATTTGTTTGACATGTCTGGTAGTCCACAGTATTCTGTCCTTAAGCGGATTAGTGTGCCTCAATTTTTTAAATTAATGCTCTAATTATTTTCTGAATAATTGTTTCCGAAACTGATTTTGGGCAGGTTTGTATCGTATCCAATAACCAGGAAATCCTTATCGATCAATATGCGCATTTTTTTTTTCTGTTTCCAGATTTAGATAAAATGAGCAGTGTTATCAATCATTTATTAGATTTTTACTATTCAAAGGACATCGTTACTCATGTTTTGTTTACATTTATTTCCTTTTTTAGTCCATTGCATCTCTTTCTCTTTTTGATTTTAATTTAGTTTTCCTTGAATATGGTGTAATAAAGTATAATGCAACTGATGTATTTTTTTGTAATTTGTAATGTATCGTTTGTGGAAGAAAAAACAAGATGAAATGTTTACTCCACTTCCATTTGTGGCATTCAATAACTACAAGGTAAAAGGCGTGCTTGGACAGTCTTGCACGAGTCCATGAACTTCAGTGGCGGATCCAGACCTTGAGCCAAAGGGGGTGGGGGGAAGGTTTTGTTTTGCTTGTCCTGCCGGACTTTCTTCCTTCTGTGATTTCTTCTTTTTTCTCCCAAAAGAAGAGGGGCGGGCCCCCTGGACCCCTCTCCTAGATCTGTCTCTGAACTCATCAGTTGCAACGCTTTGCTAAGGCAAAATCAAAATGAATTTTGCTTTTGAATTTTACAAATTTTTCATGAAAGCTGCGTTTTCTTACCAATAATAGAAACGGTTATGTATTGGCGTCTTCCCGTCGTCCGCTCAGTTCCCCTGTTCTGCTCTACGGTGCAAATGAGTTCTCCATCGTCGTCTTTAAAAACTGGATTAACATGCATGTTCCCATTAGGTTGTTGCCTGAATCTTTGCCTATCCAGTCTTTTTCCATCTGTTCTGGTCCACGTGAACCTAGGGGCTGGATTTCCCTCAGCACTACAGTTAAGGATGCCAGGCGTGCCGAAAACAAGGGTTTGATGGAGATCCTTATTAGTAAAACGTGCTGTGGAGAGAAAGACAACCTGGCTTAAAAAAAATTAAAGAAGGCATAGTTTTTAATGCTTTCTATAAGTTATATGTGAGAAGCAACTTAATTGCTGGAGTCCACCCTGCTAACGGTTGAAAGTCACAAACACTTGAAAGCTTTTGCTTCTCCTCAGTGCTCATGTGAATCTAGTTACCTTAAAGGAGATAAGCTTCATTAGATATTTTCCAATCCATCATTTAAAAATAATTCGACTTACCGTTAACATAAATGTTGTAGTACTGAATGTATTTTAATCCTTTGCATGCATATGTTCCACCATCAGACAGCTTAACGCTCTCTATTGTAAATGTACCATTTCGAAACGTCTTAATCCTTCCACCAGATTCGGAATGGAGTTCTTGGCCTGTGCTGTTATACCATCTGATTAACGTTGTCTCGTTTTTTAGGGTACAGCTGAAGGTTTCTTTTGTGCCAATGTCCATAACCATTGTCTCTATATTCAGAACTTCCTTATCTTCCACTATAACAAACACAGTGTCGGCTCAGATTGGAAACACCTGGAAGTGGATACAATGCTGACATATTGGGGAAAATGCAAGGGTATGCTTGTGACTAGTGGTGAAATTAGTCGAAATCGAAACCGTTTGTTTTGCGTATGCATATGTTCAATTTTCATTGCACATGATTTTAAAGCAACNAGAAAACTTCTATGTTTCGCCAAAGATCGACGGGGATTTTAGTTGCTTGTGAGGGCTTCGTTTTTGCAGTGGAACTGATACGGCTTCTTTTCGCGTACAGCCTCTACAGCTGTGATACAATTATGTCGAGTTTAGTTTTATACAGTGATACTGGCAAAAGCTCGCAAAAAATTGCTGAAATCTTAAGAAATAAAACGGCGTTTTCGTGCTGAACACGACTATTTTTAGTCGTAGAAAGGAATTTTGATCACGAGCTAGGTAACCATTCCTGAACTGAGAACGGACGGTTTTTTTTAGCCCTACACACGCTCCGATTGCCTGCTTATAGGGATCTGTAACTTATTTTTGGTATTTCAGTATGAGATACATAATAATAATAAAAAACAATTCCAAATCGGTTAATGTAATTATTTCTTACATGGTTCGCACAATGCCTGAGCACCAACGTCACCTTGGCAGTCTACCTCTCCATCAATACGCGCACAGGATGCAAGTTCAGAATCCTGCTCAATGCAGCTCACCTCGGACATCAGAAATGGAAGTTTGCTTTCCTCAACATCTGACCCAGTGAATTCAGCTATGGCATTTTTGAAGCCAAGTTGACGGCAAATGACTTGGGCGTCTATAATGTCCCACTTGTTAGGGCAAATCCGTCCCCATTTTCCGCTGTAAAAAACTTCTACTCTTCCACTGTAGTTTGATCTGGCACCATTTAAACG